CATCACTCTGATCCCTGCCTCCATGGTCACAAGGCCTCCTTTTCTCTCCCGAACCTCCCTCTGCCTCCTTCTTATAAGGATACTTGTCTTTGGACTGAGAGCCAACCCAGATAATCCAGGACGACTTCCTCATCTCAAGATCCTGACACTAATTACCTAAGCAAAGAAGCTTTTTCCAAATAAGATCCCATTTAAAGTTTCTACAGATGAGCACGTGGCCGGATCCTCTTGGACCCATTACAATATTAAAGTGTTTGGGGTGAGAAGGAGGCTAAAACACAGACACATCATCTTCGGAAAGAACAATATTGTCAACTTGATTTGCGTAAACCATCAAAGCCAATCATACAATGGGACACTTATCTGAGACCCAAAAAGAATCACTTCATGATAAAATAAATCATCAAATAAACAACTTTTAGACAAAGATATGAGCAGACAACACAAAGGTCAGATATTTAAGCGTCATATATTTTATAACTATTAATTTTGTCCTATATTTTCATTAATTTAATTTGTGTTACTTCAGATTGCTTTACTATCTCCTGATCTAGTCCCTTTCGTCACATTAAAATTTAGGAACTTCAGAATACTATGTCCTATTGGAGTTAGTTCAGAATCACCTTAATGAAAATTCAACTTTTCTAAGAGCCAATGTCTTTTGCCAAATCATAATTCTTCTTTCCTTTGAGATTCTTAATTTTAAAAGCCAATAAAATTAGACAAACTTCTGAATTTAACGCTTATCCATCATTTAAATCACCAGTAGAAGTTCAAGAGCAATTCCTAAAGCAGGTAATGCCACATATGATTTAAAATTTGCTAACACAAATAACAACAACAACAAAACACAACACACAGCCTTCTTTAATTCAGATTCATACTCATTAATGAGATCCTGTTAATATTTCATGCACAGTCTCTTCCCCATTTACTTTAAAATATTTCTGTAATGGAGATTGAAAAATACACCAGGCTCCTGTGAGTAATGAAAAATTCAAATGTGTTTAGGAAAGATCTTCAGCTATAATTCAAATAATGTTGCTTAAACATTTCTAAAAGGACCTCTGAGCCTCTGCTCCAAACCAGATTCAGAAGCACGGCAGGGTCTCGTAATTAGAGCGGAAGAGTCTGATGGGAAAGTCCATCCTGGTGGGGCTGGATGTCAATATCATCACCAACAGTAATGAGCATCCTTCCTGTGAGACGTAGGAAGTTTTCACTAACAAAACCAAGTAAACCAGTCATGGAGGAGCAAGTGGTGATGAGACTCTCCAGCCTGCCCATCTGGCCAAAGAGGAGACTACAAACTAACCCAAGAACCTCAGAGCCATCGAGCTCTCCTTTGGGAGCAGCTTTATCATCAAAGAGCTACTCACGAATGCTCATCCTACTGTCCAAAACAGACCCTGCATGCTGATTTTAAACCAATTAGCTCTTTACATCTCTTGATTTATAAAATGTAGAATGTGCTGCTTTTCTTGAAGATGCGATAGCTCAAAATTTAAGTACATGTAGCTACAACTGACGATTAGAATGGCATATAGCTTGACATATTGCCACAAATTACATATAATCTATGCTGTAACATGTGAATGAGTCCTTAGGGAGTCCTTGAGCTAAGACTCATTAGTATATCTCAGTGAAATGAAAGATTTTTATAAAACCACAAAACTGACTCTGGTTATGGAAAGTCCCGCTTAAAATATAAAGATGCTTTTACAGGGAAATTCATGATTCCATGGGGTTTTGGCTCAGTGGCAACTAATCTATTGGCTTTCTCTGCTTTGCTTTATTGCTATCAGAACTCAGTGAAATAATTATATTCATTCAAACCATTAGTTGTTTTTTTCCCCAAATTTTCTTAAAACAATTGAAATTGGCATTGTATTAAGCGCCTGTAGAACAATTTTTAAAGTGATCATTAAATAATTAACAAGTAAAATATTATGTCAAAACTCAGTCCCTTTCAGTATAACACAATTAGTATTTATTGAACATCTAATATATCCCCAAGATATAAATCAAACAGACTTATAAGCCAAATCAGGTATATACTGACTTAAGAAAGCTTACATGAATTTTATACCTTATTATAATTTCTCAACTAAATCCTATGAATTCAGTAAATACTTAATACAAAGAAAATATAAATTAAAAAATCTGAACACAGGACTAAAAGACCGATACTGTTGAAAGACTTTTTAAAGGCTAAATCTCTCAAATATAAAAGATAGTTTTAACACTTTGGGAAAATATATATACATATTTTTAGATTTATATATTTGTATAATATATTTATTTTTATTTTATATATTATTTATATATAAATACATTATTTTATTTATATTTATAATATATATATTTACATATATATATATATATATAAAATCTTCCATAACTTCCTCTCCAAATCCATCAGCCAGTTAAGCCATCACTTGGCACCATCTACTGTAACTTCTCACAGAGGTGCTCCCTGGCCTAACCGTCCCATGTCCCACACAGGGGCACCTCCTGTTGACCCCTTATCCTCTTCCTTTTCTATTGGCCTCCATGATTCTTCTCTTTCCTACTAACTTCTTCTCTCTCTCTTCTCCCTGCTCTTCCTGGGTGAAATTATCAAGATACACATTTCCAAAAATGTGACTATGTATCTACAAACAACCAGCCTCTTTCATCCCAGCATCAAGTGTTTTAGCATCCTCTTGGGATTCCCATTAAAAACGTCAAATTCAAAACATCTAAAACTGAATATCTTTCCTTCCAAACTGCCTCATTCTGCAGGATTTCCTCTCTGGGTTGGCATTAAAAAAATCCACCAGTCAGCGGGCTGAGAAAGCTCAGTGTCATTTCAAGCTCTGTCTCCCTCCCTCTGCATGTCCAGTCAGTCATGGTCCCCAGCCCTCTGCCTTCTGACGCCGCCTCCTCTGCGCTCCACGCTCCGGCTCCAGTGCAGTCCTGGCCTGAGTGTTTCCACAGCGCTCTGACTTCTTTCCCAATCCATCCTATGTCATGATGTCTGTTTTACTTACTTCATCCCTCACTCTGTCTAAAAATATTTGATAAGTTAACACTGCCAAGAGTCCAAAGTCCTAAGTGCCTGCATATTTATTCAGGATTTGGCCAAAATAACCTTTTTAGACTTTCTTTCCTATCATTCTCTATAGACTTAACTGAACTTCTTGCCCCATTTCCCAAACATGTTGTGGGTGGATATGGTGGGACGGTATGGAGCATTCGCCCTCGTTGACCTCGTGTACTGCAGACATCAGGAAGCCACAAAGTTATCCTTCCCAGTCTCCTTTGCTGTTAGGGTCTGAGCTCTCTGTGGCTGCCACTCGTCCAGCACTATTGCACGAGATTTAGAAGGTGGAAGTGGTGGAGGCCCCAATTCTGCTGTTTCTGTGTTTTCCCTAGTGAGCACGTGCTGAAGGTGTTGTTTTTCTCTGGCAGTGGAGATCTGCAGGCCCAGACACCAACTTGTTCCCTGCAGAGTACCAGCGCACGGGCATTTCACTGCCGGAGGTGGTAGCAGTAACTGAGAATCAGTACCTATGGCAGCAGCTTCTCAATTTGGCTGGAGGCTTCCTGATCAATGACAAGGCTATGTTGGTAGCCCTGTCCTGTGGCATGGTTTTAAGGTCACTGGAAGGTTCAACATAGAGTCTCTCAGCAGTTACTTTCCTGCACTAAAGTTACTTTCTGCTCCAACAGCTCTGGTGGATTCCGTCCTATGCCACTGAATCCAGAGGGGCACACGTCCATTCACTTCCCAAAGTCCGTGTCTTTACTGGAGGCCCATTCCTTTTATCTTACTGAGTTCTGACTCGCCGTTGGAGGCCTAGATCACTTTTTACCTCCTCTAGGAAACATTTCTACACTTTTTTGGGAGCCAAATAATTGCTTCCTTCTCTGTGGTAATACAGAACTTTGTTTATGTTGCTAACGTTTTTATAAGTAAATTATATCATAATTATTTGTCAATTCACCTTTTCCTTATTTGAAAGTGAGATATTTGAGAGCAAGGAACATGTTTTGCTCAACTTTGAGTCTCGAATGCTCTGGCTTTGCTTATAGCAGAGTCTCAGTAAACATGGGTTAAAAAGGACTGAAAGACACCGAGTGTGAGAGAGTGACGGGATATCTCACCCTTGAATGTGTAATTTGTACTAAGTGCCAAATGAGGGGAAAAGCCAAGGGCTACAAATTCACAGGTGGAAGATATTAGATACTAACTGTAGATGGGAGGTGAATTGAGGACAAGTGAGATGTGGATTTCAGCACTAAAAGATGGATAAACATTCACCTGTTAAGAAGACAAGGAGGATATTTCAAGCTTGAATGTGAGAGATGCAGGACAAAAGTGAGCGCATTAGAAAAAATAACCTGAACAGAGGTTTTGAATGGGGGGGGTGGTGTGTGCGCAAATAAGTCATGGAAAAAATGATTGGGATCAGCTTGGAGAAGCCCAATATGAGCCTAGCCTGAGGAGTGTGAAAATGTTTACAGGTGAGAGCTGGTCCTTGGAAGTTCTGAAAAAGAAGCACGTGTTACAGAGCTGGTTAGGGAATCGACAGAGATCTGACAGTAGCTTTCTTTTCTGGGGTTGCTAGGCTTCAAGAAAAATAATTTAATACTAAAAACTATATTGAGGGTAAGCAAACTAGATGTCCAGTGTTTCTCTGGATTATGAAAATGTCTCAAAGTTCGTAACAGAGCCCTTTGTATTCAATCCAGGCCTCTTTTTGCTCATATGAAATTATAATTCTCGGAACATTATGAGAAGGATCATACTGCATGCTTCATCGCCCACGTTCTGAAGATGTGAAGCCCTCAACAGGCTAAAAGAAAATAGCTGAGAAAAGTACATTTGTGTGGGCTCTTCACCCAGTTTTCATTTATCAAAGCAATAAACTCGAAAATACTGCAACTTTAAAGCTCGTCCTTAGACCTTTGGTCCATCAGTGCACATCACAGCTGACGGCGCTCCTTTAACTTACCCTTCCTGCATAGTGCATAACAGTGAACGCTGTGCCTTCATCTTTGCGGGTGACATTCCCGTTGCCGTCCTTCGCGGGGGAGTACACTGCATTGGTGTTGGAGGATTCTAAGAGACTCTGGAGCTTTTGGGGGAGATCTGGTTCCACTGACCAAATCATTTGACTTTCTTCATCCAACAGAGAGAGAAATCCAGATGGCTTCTGAAAGTGAAGAAGAGAGAGTTTTCTTCTATAGCTCAGTTTAGTATTTGTGTTGTGGGTCATGCATTTCTTTCTTCATTACGTTCATATAAACAAGCAGAAAATGAATTAGTCTTTACCTTTAATACACATCTATTCTCGCTCACTCTTGGGTGCCCGCCCCCTCGCAAAACTCTGGTGCAAAGTAGGTCCTCAACACTACTTATTGATTAGAGGAATGAAGAAATAAACGAAGGAGTCTATTATAATGTGATTAGAACACTCGAGTTATTAAGAAGTATATTCTTAACAAGAAAAATAAAATTTCTGACTACAGGAAAGTTGTAATTTTTCTTGACCTAAAGCCCATATTGAACACTTTATACTTAATGGTGGGATAAGTAACTTATGAAGAAACAAAACCTACAATGATGTAAGTCATAAAAATTGTGGCAAAATCCCACTCAGCATGAGGTAGAAATGACTCTATGATGTTCCGGTATTTTGATTCAGGAAAAAGAAAGTTTGAAGCTATAACTTGTAAAATTTAAATTAGAAGTCTGATAGTTTATAGCTGCCAAACACGGGAAGTAAAGTTGCACAGGAAGTAGGAGTGTAAAATTGATCTCACATGAAGGAAAATGCTGCTTAACAGAACTTCCCAACCTCTGACACTGTGTCCCAAACACAGAGCACCCTTCCGCCCACGGGGCGTACACATCAGTTGAATAACTTTTTACTCAGCGCTGTGTGGTTTATCTTTTCTTTCTTAGGAAAGTTCTTCTGTTGACATGTCAAATCTACCTTTTAAAATAAGGTAACATATTATTTGCTTACATTATTCTGCCATATATCTTAACTCTTCACATCGACTCTGTGCTTTCAAAAGTGTGAATACCATAAGAATAATTCTTCTCAGGATGTGAAGAAACCTGGACTGACCCCTATAGCGATTTCACTTTGTATTATGACCTGAGGTCACCAAACCTGCCACCATAGGCCTTTCATGATGTCATTTATTTGGCCAATACAAAGTCATTTCTTCATGCTAGTAGTTTTAAGCCTTTTGGAGTCTCCTGCTCCTAGTAAAGAAAACTCAGACTATATACAGTTCTCTGAGGGTTGCAAAAGTTTAATCATTCTGGTGCCACTCATAGGGAACAAAGGTTAAAGGAGCCAGCCCCAGGGACGACCTTCACCTGGTGGGGGCTCACACACCAGAGGGCGCCCTATTGGAGACATTTGGCAATTATGATGGTCATCTCTAGAATGAGCAGCCAGACAGCCTCCCTGGGACGGACAAGGAAGAACTGATGAGATGGAAAATGGCACTGGAAGAAATTGGGAATGCCTGTAACAAGCAAGTTCATCCAACTCGGCAAATTACTGAGATCACTACTACCTGGAGAGACTTGTCTTACCAACACAAACATGTTTTTTGATAAGAAAATTTGGAGAAGAAAGTCCATTCCAGGGAGCATTAGCCCAGCAGGCAATTCTGCATGGTACATCACAAAAATCTCAGTGTAGCCAGGAACCCCATGGTGAGGCCCCCTGAAGAGCCCAGAGGTGAAAAACCAAAAAAATAAATAGGTATGCAAAATGGATGGGAGAGGCCCTAAAACTAAACAGTCAAGGTAGGAAGTTTGCTGAGGACTGGCTCTGTGTGTAACGTTTCAAAAATCAGAAATTCTTTATTTCCATTTATAGCAAGCTATTTGTTGAACAATAAGTAAAATATTGATATTGTAAGATCAGAAGTCGTGCCTTCATCTGTCAGTCTGAGCATGATGTCACGGCACTTCTCTACACGCTGTTACCCTTACACACAAACACACACACAGGCAATAGAGACATGCGGTGAAGACAAACGGGGTATTTCAAGGCTGTATGCAAGCGTGCCCACGCTGCAGGGGCAGTGACAGTCTCCTCTTTGGAGATGAGAATTTTTGTTTGTTTGATGAGGCCTTAAATGGATGTTTCCGTAATTCAAAGACAAGGCCTCAATTAGTGTAAGGGAAGGGATCTATTCAGAAAGAGCTAAACCACCCTGCTCCAAAAGCAAGATGACATTTTCCAAGGAAGGGGTGCTTGGTTACCAACAACATACTTTTTAAAGCATTATAATTTGTATTGTCTGCAAAATTTTAAAAATTCATGTGTGCAATGCTTTCTGGATGTTTGATATAAAGCCATGAAGGAAAGGTGGCAGACTTGGAAAACTTGCTGAGTGTCTGAAGAAGAAAGTAGAACATGGAGAATGAAGTCATAAAAGAGGATTAACGGCCTTCAATTCCTTCAGAAGTGAGGGCTTCGGAGAGACTGAATTGTTCTCCTGTAAGTGAGAGGTTATCATACGTAGTTTCATCTTAACAACGAAAAGCAGCAATATTGAGCATGCAACACAATGTCCTATGTCCTAGATGCCTGGAGCATCTGCTAAGAATCTGGATCCACACCCCCCTCAGGGACATGAGACAAACTTACGTTCACTGAAACAGAAATAAGGCCTGTGAGAAAATGGCAAATGCTTGTGCGCAGTAGGGGTCTATGGGTGCTAGAAAGGAAACAAGCAGCTTGTTTTGTTTTGTGGGGTACATGCTTGCCTGGTATACTGACCCACATCTTTCACCCTATACTTGATACGTCTTTTCATTCCAGTTTTACGGGTATCACAGAGGAGTAGCAGTCAACTTGTCCACTCTCATTTCCAACTCATACTGATAAAAGTCCTATTATTGAAATGATGATCCCAAAGACGAGCCCTCAAGGAGGATAGCCAAAGAGATAGAAACAACTTCATTCTTCTGGCCACTCTGTAGCGGTCAAGGATATCGCAGCAAGTGAGAATGAAGGTGGAGGGGCCTGAAGCTTCCTGTTACACAGTTAAGTATGTATTAGTGTCAGTTTGAAGACGTTTTTTTCTTTGGTGAGGAAGATTGGTCCTGAGCTAACATCTGTTGCCAATCTCTCTCTTTTGGTTTGAGGAAGATTGTCCCTATGCTAACATCTGTGCCCATCTTTCTCTATGTGGTACGTGGGATGCCTCCAAAGCATGGCCTGATGAGCGGTGCATAGGTCTGAGCCGAGGATCTGAAACCACAAACACTGGGCTGCCAAAGTGGAGCATGCCAACTTAACCACTAGGCCCCTGGGCTGGTCCCTGAAGACGTTTTTTAATCGTAGATAGGTAAGTTATATACTAAATGTGTATGATGAGGGAGGGCTTTCTGGAGGAAGAGGGCTTCCTCTGTAAGTAAAAAAAAAAGAATGTTGAATAGTTGGTAGCAAGAACAGGAGTATTTTACAATACTTGGAAAATGCATACAAAAATTTATAAATCTACATTTATAGAAACAAAAGGTAAAAAACTAATTACTCTGCTCCCGATAGCTGAATGGTACCAGTTTTAAATCATGTTCAAGTGTTTGAGATATTACGTGTAAGTCTCCATACAGTCATGCATTGCTTAGCGCTGGGGATATGTTCTGAGAAATGCATAGTTAGGCAACTTCGTCATTGTACTGACATCACAGAGGGCGTGCACACAAACCTAGGCGGGATAGCCTACTGCACACCTAGGCTGTGCGGTACTCACCTTATGAGACCAACACCGTGTATTTGGTCTGTCATTGATCAAAACATTACTACGTGGCGCATGACTGTAATGTCTTCACATATTAGTAGACAGAGATTGCTGTTTATGTGATCGATTTTTGTTTATATGACGGAGGTCTTGAGGCAAAGATTCTTGCATTGTAAAGTGAAGCAAAGATAAGTATGAGCACCTTCAGATCCCTAAGATTATATATATGTATACATATTTTTACTGCCAATTTTTCCAAACAAATTTAAAAACTTTGAAGATAAATAAAAAATATTCTGTTGAATTTGTTTTATGATATTGTTATCCTTAGATATTATTTTATAAAACATTAATTTTGTACATTGGGCATTTGTAACTGTGCCGAAAGGAGAGTTTTAGCAAATAATCAATGCTGAATATTTTTATAACAAGATAATCTGATATTTCTTGTCCTTTCAATGAATTGGTAATCCTTCAGATGACCCTTCAGAAAAAGGTAACTTGTGCTCCTCAATCAACACTGAAAGATTATAAATACATTGCAGAGTCTCATATACAAAGATATCTCAAAAACAAGGCCCTTGAAATAAATTCCCTGCCTCCTGTATATTTAAATGCATGCATCCTGTAAAGTATCTAATTATACTATATGAATACCTGGAAAAAAAACTCCAAAACTCCAGTCTGGTTACCAGGAGAATAAGCTGTTTCCATGGTAACTCCCTCTTGTACACATTCTGTTTGCTCCTGTAGAAAAAGCACTTCATTGATATAATGGTGCATCTTCTCATTGGTCATGTTGACACAAAGCTATTGTGGGGAAAAAGAAAACAATTCACAAGACAATATGGCCATGCAGATTCACTCGTATGACACATTTTCAGATTTGTGAAATACTGACTCAAGAATATTCAACAGCAATTAGTCTATTGAGATAAAGAATGACAGTATTGCCTGAAAAGTCAAAGTAAAGTTTTACTTGATATTGTTGACTTCATATGGTCTGATTATTCAATTTAAAGTGAGTATGTTAAAAACAACAAGAAGCATAACTACAACATTGACTTGCAAATTTGGAGTCTAAAATATATTTGAGTATTTAAATAATATTTCCAAAAAGGAATTATATTTGGGCTCTTGTCAACAAGTGAAGATAAAAGCTGGATTTGCCATGAGATCCCTGAGAAAGGACAAGCATTTCTTGCCTCCTTATTTCTGTTGCACATCCACGATGGGCAAGGGAACATGGTGTTTCTTTTAGAAAAATAACCAGTCTAAGTATTGTATCTAGAAACTATTTTCTTTATAAGAAAATTTTTTACATTCTTTCAACTGTCAATTTTTCTCTTTTCAGAAGACATTCCCATCAGAAAACAAATATGCTACTTCTTAAGCTTAAAGTTTTAATTTCTTAGTCTTAAAAATTATCTGAAAATATTAAAGAATAAAATAAGCCTGATCTAACCAAAATGAAGTCTTACTTCCACTCTATGCTACTCTCCTACTCTTCTGCTTCCTTTTGTAACAAAAAGCCTCAAAAGAGATGTCTTATCTCAAATTCCTCTCCTCTCCACTATTGAAACCCCTTCAAGAAAACTGTGCCCCCACTGCTCCACCAAAATTGCTTTTGTGGAAGTCACACAGTGTGATGTGTGCACTTTTAAATCCAACGTTCAATTCTCAGTGTTCGTTTTCCTTGACCTCCCAGTGATACTTGACCATCGATTCCTCTGCTTCCCTGGGGCACTGCCTCTGCTGTCTTCCAAGACTTCATACTTTCTTGGTCTCCGACCTTACTGGCCACACCTTCTCTATCTCCTTCTCTAACTCCATCCTGGACTGGTCCAGGGCTCAGCCTGTGGGCCTCATGTCTTCTCTATCTGCACCCAGTTTCTTCATGAGCTCATTCAGTCTCAAAGAGCATCATGTTCTCCCAGCTGCAGCTAACCACTATGTTATACTAGGTAAAATCCAAAAAGCATTGGGAAATATCAGAATTCAGTAACCCACTGAAAATAGAGATGAGTAATTTATATAAACCAAAATAATTGGTAAAAATTTTTAAAAGAAAATCAGATCTCATTTGTAAAGGGAACAATATCTAGGATTCTACTTGATGTGAAATGTGCTATGTTTATACAAAGAAAATGCCAAAGCTTTTGTAAATCACACAAGACTGCAATAGCCATCAGAGAAGAGAAAGACCGCCCTGGGTTCCTCTTTTCCTTGTACCCAAATTCTTCTCCAAGCCATCATAACATAACATCAAGTCACCATAATGCCTGCTGACTAGGAGCTCCTCTTAGACATCCGTGTCCCTCTAATGAGAGTGCATGGCTTCTCTCTAGCTCGCGTAAGAGCATCTCTTATGCTCCAGCTTCCAACCAGTGAGAAGAGTCACCTTCTCAAATGACCCCCACCAAGAAGGCTTTCCCTCTCCATGCAGGTGTCTGTGCCTGCCCATCGGGGTGTGGCTATTAAGGAATTAAGAATGGCATGCACATAGGAGGAAAGAGCCGTTTTCTCACAGACCCAGCTATTTGGGAAAATGGAAGTTTATGGGATGCTAGGGACATGAAGAAGTCTCACAGGGAAACTTTCTCAGGGAGGAAACAATCGTATCAGAGCGCAGGACGAGGGTCAGATCACAAAGAGAGTTCGTCCTGAGACAGGGTTGCTTTGCTGTGAAGTTTTTTTCTTCACTTCTTGCCAGGGTTAGAATTTTGTGCATAGGTACAGACAGCTTGAACATCTTCAGAAACGGAGTGACTGGAGAATGACAGGAGTGCAGGCATGGGCCACTGTGACCAAAGCGGGGGTTGGGGAGCTGAAAACTGTAGAGGTTCTTAGGACTGAATCTAGTCAAGTTATTTCAATGATGAATGTATAACAATATTTCATTATTGATACAATAGGTGGAGAATAATTGATATACTAGAAATATACAAAAATATTGGAATCCCTCTTTGCATCATCTTCTTCCTACCACTCCATCCATGGTCTCTTGACTTTCTTGAATTTTCTTCCTTCTATCTGATGTGGCCAGTAGTTAAGTAGAACTTTTCCTCTCTTCCCCTTAACAACTAGACTTTATGAGATATACGCAAAGCTGACAGTTATTTAAATTTAAAGGTAAACATTTCTTAGATAAACCTGCACTCCTGCTGATAAGTTCTCTAAATGCAAAAATGTTAAAACTATAGTAACTTTGGTTAGGAATATACCATATAGGACATTTAACTTTACACGCTTTGTTGTTAAGGCAAAAACAGTTTGAATATAGATACAGACCAATAAATTCTGCACATTATAGCTGGAAAAGGGAGGCATGGAACTCAATATTTACATATCATATGAAAAATATTTCCTCCTTGTAACTAAGTCTACACATTCACCTCCTTGTATCATTAGATCAAAACTAAGTGATACCAGTAGATGAATATCTGTGTCTGTCTTATTCTACAGCGTATAAATCTCCAGGAATGATTCTGGAAAGATAAACCATTTTCTATAAAACTGTGTAGCATCTATCCACAGTAGTATCCCCACTGTGAAAGGAATACATCTATAGTTGCCCCCATTTTGATCATAAATGAAAAATAGAAATTTCAGAAAACTATTGTTAGAGGAAAAAAGTGGAAATTTAAAAAATTATTTCACTCTGCTTAAAAAACAATATTTTAAGGTGTTTCTCTCAATCTAATAATATGGCAAACTCTCTTAAAGCTGAAGTAATTTTGTTACTAAAGATCAATAAATGTTATAAAAGATTGTTAAAATTTGGGGTGAAATACAGTAAATGTACAGAAAACAAATGACTCCCTTATGGAATGGAAACATTGGAAACAATTCTCTTTGTTTATTCGATAGACACAATTGTAATTTTTCAAACTGTTTAATATTAAAAAAATACATTGAATCATTTAAGAAAAGACCAATAGATCCTATATCTCAAGAGTTTGATTTAAAAGCGGTTATGGAACGTGTGCCTAAATGTAACATATGTTAGGAAATAGGTTTCTCAGAAATAAACGTTGAAGCCACAAAAAATAAGGCGATGTCTCTTACTATGTGAAACAATAAAAATAAATCTGATAGAGGATTCCAAAATAAGAACATCAGTGGCTAATTCTCTATTGTACAAGAAACATCCAAATTATGTGACACTTATCTTTCCCCTCATTTTCAGATTCTCTAATTGAAAATACTTAGATGTGGATGTCTCAAGCATACTTAATATAATTCTCTTATCCTTTTCATTCAGAATAGATGCCAGCTCTGTAGTTAGAAAAATTCCTTTCGATGACAATCTGACTAAATCCTCCTGCTCTTGACCCAGCTGTAGTGTTTTGACTACTTGAGCATTTTTATAATAGAAAATAGATATTTTAATTGTTTTTGTTTACTAATATTTTATTGAACTGAACATTGGCTTCACTGAGTTGATCCTCTGTTTTAGTGAAAATGGTGATACCAAGTGGGAACGTGGACGAAGCCACTGGTAAATGAGAAAGAACTGGAAGGGGTCAGAATATCAGTCTTCTTTTTCTTCCCTTTTTTTTTTTTGTTCCAGGAAAGTCTAAAGCAATCTGCCAAACTTTGGCTGACAGAAAAAGGATTTGGCCTGTGCTTTTGATAGAATAACAATTTGTTACTCTCCTGGTCAAAATGATCCATAAAACATACAGCTTCTCTGGTGAGCTTTACTATTTTAAGCTGCAGGATCCGATGGTACTTTGTGACATGGGGTGATCCTTACAATACGGCTGAATCTTGTATTGTAGATTACGCTCTTTGTATTCTGGAGGAAAGAAAGATGTAATTTATCAAAATCCCATGGGGAAAGTTCCAGCTTGATGTGCAAAATTGAGTAGCCTGTGGAGTGAGTTTTGACTTGTAGCTTTTATGACAGTGGTGCCTTCTGAAACAGAACACGTATTTGTATTTCTAACAGAGGAGAGCGGTGCTGAGTGGTAAAGGGAACCACTGGGAGCATATGCAGCTTGAAGAAGAATGTTTTTCTAACTCATTTTGAAGTAATTGTGTACATTAACATTTTTTACCAGAATAGTTTGCGTTTCTCTATTCTGAATTGTTCAAAGCACTCACTGTTTGAACCAAAGTTAAATATAAAAGAGTGCTCTAGCATGAACTTCAAAACTGCCAGCAAATGTACCCACCGAGACTAATACAGACAATCACCATATGTCAGGTACCTGGTTGAAAATTGGAAAAATGTATTCCACCAAACAAATAGCCAAAATCATGGCAAGAATCTGCTTATTCTTGATGTATCTTCACTGAACTGTGTTCGTGTACATATGTGAGTCTGTGTTAAACACAGTCAGAGAACGATACAGTGTAAGATTTTTATAGGCAAATTAGTTTATGTATCTAGAAGCATAAATCTACATAAATAGTTGAGAACATCATTGACTTCAATGCAAAACAATCATTATTTTTGCTTTTTAACACTATCCATCAGAATTGCGTTTGGGTTTCATTAAATTTCCAGGTATTTCTCAGAGTAGACTTGAACGTGGGTGAAAGGTGAGTATTCATAGCCGATAATGAACAATTATTGTGTTGCTTAATTAGCATGCATCCTTTTCTGATTAAAATACATGCTTTGTACATTAAATGCTGTTGGTAAGTGGTTTAATAATAAAAATTGCGCACCCCTTGAAAGCACTCTAGTAACAGGACGTGATTGCTTATCCAGATGGCCTATCATTTGTATTAATGACAAACTTAATTTCTTGAGTAAATTTTCACCAACTGTTCTTCCTTTATTTTTATTACTCAGTGAAATATATCTGAAGCAAAAATACAATAGAGCATGACATCTCCATCGCAGAATTAAAGCAGGAGATTAATGAAAGCTGACTGCCGTCGAAGGCAGAGCCCCGGCGTGAGACAGTGATTCGCAAGCCTCCTGCACGGTGGAATTAACCAGGGGCTTTCTAAAAAGGCTGATGGCTGAGCTGACCCCAAACCAATTAAATCAGAGTGGGGCCCAAACATTGATGTATTTTAAAGCTTTCCAGGTGATTCTAACATGTAGACATGGTTGAACACAATGAGATAGATGGTGGAACAGAGCATACACAAGCCATTAACTGATTTGCTCATCAATTGATATATTTATATATATATGTCGTACATTTATATATGTATGAGAGTACAGGAGTGATGTTACATTTCAGATATTCAGTATTTCCTAAGCATGTTCCGCAGAACACTCATTGTAGATGCCAATTACTATCTTCTAGAGAACAGTGAAACACAAACCTAGTGGGGAAACACTGAGCTAAGCTAATGGGCGTCTCTGCGGGACTTCTCAGGGCCTTTACTGTGCCAAGTGTACTGTGAATCTCCAAATTACTTTTTTGAAGAAAGCCTTGGGGCTTAAGAGGCTGCTATATGTGCTTTCCACAGCAAATCAATTATTGCTGATTTTGGCACATTATCTGTAAAGCGGCAGGTGCAGGGGGCCGGGGGCGGGGCAGGCAGTAGCTCTCTAATTTGTTTCAGCTTTAAAATTCTAGAATTGATTTTGCCTTCTTTGAATCTCCTATCATTGGGGAGCCTTTCTTCTCTCCACCCTGGTTTAGGAAAGGTCACGTTGACTTCTCTTTGCACCATCTATCTCAACCTGCTGATGAGACCATGCCACCTCTGCCAACAATCTGACAGGATTTAATAAAGAGAGGATGCCGGTGCTCTGGGCAGATGCCGCGTGGGGGGACTGCTGCCCTTGGAGAGTTCTGCATCGGAACCTGGGGCCGCAGACGCCATGAGCGCCCACCGCCCGCGGGAGCCAGGCCCAGGCCCAGGCCCAGGGCGCCCCAGCTCCCCTTCCTTTCTCCTTTGTTTGTTGGCTTTGCTGATTTTAGCCCTTCCTACTCCCACCTCCCCTCCCCCCTTTTTTGGTGGATTGTTGTTTCTTAAAGGAACCAAACATACTTTCCTCCTCTGGTTTCCCTTTGAGATTTTAAAATCAAACTCTATGTAATAGGTTTTAAGCAAAGATGGATGGCAGTGACTTCACAGGCATAAAGACATCGTTTTTATACAGATCATCACTTTCGACAACATTTCCTTCAGTGATTCTATTACTTAGAGCACATAGATTAATACAATAAATCCAATATTCTAATGGGTTTAATTTGTGTCTATAATCTCCTTTAACATAAATAATCACTACTTGGGGATTTGAGCGATTGATGGAAGGGGTCAGCCAACAACAAACCTATTTGCTAAATTTATTGCCGTATTCTATATAACAACATGCTAACATCAGGATTGAAAAATACAGATAAAGAGAAAAAAAATTTAAAAAATATTTTGGATGATATCTTGTACATAAAATATATCCTTCAGTTTATAGAAAAGCCATGCCTGGGAGTCGGAAACATAACTTCTGGTCGAAATACTTTTATTTTAAAACTTTTGGCATGATCCTATATTGTTCATCACTTTTTAATGAAAAATGAATTTGTTTTTTCAGCAACAAACCTCAGCTTAATCAATATGCTTCCTCTTTTCATATTAATTTAATAATGTAAACCTAAAAACAATGACTAATATTTGATTTCTTCTGAAATTATTGTTCTTTTTCAAATACTTGTCATTATCCAGGATTAAATACAAAACTTAGAGGTACTTAAAAAACCACTGACCCTTCAGGGGCGTAGTCAGAAGGTGTTAGAGAGAGAAACAGCACAGCACAGAGAGCACTGGGCTCTGGGGCCCGAGGCATATGCACCCAAATTTCCACTTGGCCCCAAAAAGGCTTCTGGGCTGTCCCTTAACTTTCCGAGAGAGGTGCTGTAGGAGTCAGAGATCATGGAGGAGAAGCACCTGACTCGTAGTCGGGGCTCAAGAAAGTGTAACCATTATTGATTATTAGCAGAAAACTAAATAAAACCATATTCTTAATTAGCACGTTTGGAACTTAATATCTGGACAGCTACTATTGCAAATTTGAGCTTTTTCCTGGCTCGTGGCCATTAATTCAATCCACTCTTTTCTAAAATGAACTGATGTACATTTTCAAACCCATTAATTCTTCTTATTACGTCTGTAACATTTCTTTTAATCACCCTGGCACTCTACACGAAGAAGATAAACCTGCATTATCTTACTTATTTATTCATATTAAGCAGATTTGGTGAAAAGCTCTGCTAGGGAAGAAATAATTCATGGCACGTAAAATTCATTAAAAGTTTTATTGTTTCTACATTTAATAGAATAAATAATGTCGTGTCCTAAGAGAAATACAAACAAATATTTTCCTGTTTTATTGTTTCTTCCTTTTTAGAATCATGTAGTGTCCTAAGAGAAATACAAATATTTTCCTGAATGCGCAGTAGTTAAAGCTTAGAAAATGTATACTAATGAAAGTTTAACTCTAGCTTTCAAAGAACCTTTGGAGCTGGAAACAGCACAGATCATTGGTTCTGGAATCAGATTGAAGTTCTGTGTTTTCTCCTATGAGTTACTTAAATGATCTGAGCTTCTGTTTCTTTAGCTCCAAAATGGTGATATTGTTAAGTTACAAGGTTTTGAGGAAAAAATGTCATTCAATGTACACTGTACAGTGTACATGCTCAAAATTGCTTTCCCCTGTCTCATTTTTTTTATTTCCTCGAGTTTTCAAAAACTGTTACTTGAAGAAGACCTCCAACCATACTATTGTTAAACAAAGAATCCAATATTATTGCAAGAAGTACATTAAAATGACATCTCATTATTTAATTGCTTTGCTTATTTTTTTTTAAAGATTTTATTTCTTTCCTTTTTCTCCCCAAAGCCCCCCAGTACAAAGTTGTATATTCTTTGTTGTGGGTCCTTCTAGTTGTGGGATGTGGGACGCTGCCTCAGCGTGGTTTGATGAGCAGTGCCATGTCCGCGCCCAGGATTCGAACCAACAAAACACTGGGCCGCCTGCAGCGGAGCGTGAGAACTTAACCACTCGGCCACGGGGCCAGCCCCTTTGCTTATTTTTCTTTAGAAACATAAGTACACTATATTAGGGTTCTGCTATGCAAAGAAAATAAATTTCCTCATTCAGTTTTTTCTTAAACTGTGTTATCAATAGCTTGATGAGTTCCTGAAATGATTTCAGAAAATTCAGTATCATAGAGCAGAAAATATTTTAAGATGGAGTTAGATATTTAACATATGAATAATTTTAGAATCTAAATGTGGCTATTTCTACTCTCTTCTTTAACACTTACTTTTTAGTCATATTTAATCTGATTAAACTATTCATACAGTGCTATTAAGATACCTAAAGAATTCAGTGCTTTTTGAAGTGCCCTAAATTGTAAATGGGTTAAAAATAATCAATATCTCTTTATTCCATCATGAGTTTCCCATGATCACAGATATGAATGTCATGTAAAGATGAATCTACAAACAACAGCAGTTAGCATAAGAGAGAATTTCCATTCTGATTTTGGGCCAAGGATTCTGAAGACTCTTGCCCTGATTTCAAATATAGATGCCCTCTGTCTCTCTGGCCCAGTTGAAATAATATTTCCACAAGCACAATTCATGTCTTTGTCTAACATTGACTTTTAAAACAATTGCCTCTGTTTTAAAAAAATGATTATGCCAGTTGTTTACAAGACCACACAAAAATGAACACGTCCACAAATCAGGTACATTAATTTTACAAGATGGCAAAGTACTTTTTAAAATTCTGTGTTTGCAACTAATTATGCAAATAGTCTCTATTGAATTAAAAAGAGATAACTTACTAGTTGAAAAGAAACCATCAAAGTTTATAAAATTTCAAAAGAAACTCACTTACTTGTTCAAACTCATTCTTTTGAAATTCTTCAAAACCAAAGATGTCCAATATTCCAATATCCCAGGTCTGCGTGCTGTAAGGGAACAATAAAACCGTGAACAGGCGTACTTGAAGCTCTTACATGACCCCCTGCCCCTTGCTACTTCAGGTCAGAGAAATCCAGCCATTTAGGCGTCACTGCCCATTTGAAGTAAAAACATGCAAATAGTTATCTCAGAGTCTGGTGACAAACTCTGAAAGTAAGGAGAAAAGTATTCTTTTAATGGTTTGATTCAAACACAAATAGATTAACAAAAATACATTGATTTATAAGTTTAAAATGGAACAATACATGGGTGATTTAATATCTGCTTCTCTGAAACAGTCCTTGTGTCTGTCTCCTTTGACTACACTTCCTTTCTCTGAAGGAGTTTGCACTCACCTGTTAGTGGTTCTCACCAGCTAACGCTTGTATCTTGTTAGGTTACACAAGCAGTGAACCAAGCAATTTCTACATCACACTTAAGTACAATACAAGTCAATCACGATTAAGCCACGTGTGTGTTCTTTGATAGATCAAATTGAGCTGCATCAAAAATCATATTATAATCTCCCTACAGGAATTCTTATAAATAAAGAAGAATAAAGACCATGAAACTTGGATGTGAAGTTGCAGACGTCAATCTAAGTACTATTTCTTTTTTCAGCGTAAGCTATCACTCTTGGAATTTGCCAGTCTTGGATGGTCAAGTCACAGATGTTGGAACCCTCACAGTGAGTGAAGAAAGGAAAAAGAAACCCTGGTTTGTGACAGCAGCCCTGACAACCTGGGTTCTGTGGGGATGTGCAGGCAGCAGGGGGAGTGTGCATGAGGCTAATTCTTGTAAAGAAAGCCCCAGATGATTCCAGAATGCTGGTCACCAGGAGGGTACACACCCCTCCCTTTCACATCATTGGTCTAGATCATCAGCAGGATGACTACTATGCCCATTTTCTGCCAATGGGTCTGACAGTCCATCATCATTATGGTGTTTATGGTTTCAAAACCACTGTGCTTGTTGATGAAGGCATTTTTGTTGTTCTTGTTTCTTCTCTACTCAATCTGTCCAAACTGCAGAAGCACATTGGCAACCAACTCCATTTTTGTACCTGTATTTTGTTTGCATAATCATAATATTTTAAGGTCTGCCATATGTCACTTAAATGACCATTTTTTTCTTCAAAAAAGGTAGAGCAATGATTCTATGATATCCTGTCTCTAAGATTCTTTGTTGTAGACGGTACAAATACGAGCTTCATAAGTAGGCGGGAGAGTATTTTAAAAGCCTTTAATGTAAACTTCACATGGCAAAGAACATAAAGCAGGGAGGCAAAGGCAGACTCAGTCAGTGGATGTCTCTGGGTAATTGATGGAGTGTTTTAGAAGAAAAAATAAAGTTAGCATTGTAGCTCACCCTGTGTGCCCAAATAAACTCTACGTGGATTAGAAAGTTAAACGTTAGAATGAGAAACTATAAAAATGTACAAGAAAACAAATGTGGCCATTTTTTCTGCTTTCAGTTCTGGGAAAAATTTTTTTAGAAAATTTAAAAGTATGATTACCCAAATACGAAATTCTTTTGGAGAATAAACAGCACAAATAAAATTAAATTCTGTTAGAGGTAAGTATTATTTTAAGCTGCATTGCCTCTTGATTTCCATAGATTTTTTTCAACCTGTTGTTGAAAAACCTGTATGTTCAGTAAGACACCATCTTCCATTCACCCACGCTTCCTGCCCTCCTGCTGTCTTTATAATGTGCACAGAGATGCTGGGAATGATGCTATCTTTATAATGTGCACAGAGATGTTGGGAATGATGCTTACTCGCCGGTAACAATGGTGCTGAGGTTTAGGATGATTGGCTGCTTTGTTTTGGGGGGTGTATGTGTGCGCGTATTTTCCATGGAATGAGCTACATTGTTTCTCTTTTGGAGCTTTAGTGACGAAGTTTGCCAGGTTTTTGAGTTGTTCAGTCTTGGGTAGGAATCCTGGTTCAAAGAATTTTTAGTTGGATAACTTTGGGCAAGTTACTTAAATTTTCTGAGCTACAGTTTCATCATCTATAAAACTGAGATAATAAATAATGTTTGTCCACCTAGATGCTTGTTACAATTAGAGATGATGTACATAAAGTTCTAGGATAACAGCCGGTATACACTGGTATACACATACATACATAGCTGGTATACATATCCAGTCACTGGAAGTTGCTTTCTTGAAAAAATCGTTTAAGCTTGCTATAGAAATGAAGAGGGTAGCTAATAGAAGAAATATAAATACCTAGTAGGCATATTAAAAATGTCAACGTCATTAAAATTGCAAGAGAAATAAAATTTTAAAAATTAGGGAGAGAAAAATATTTCCTACACTTTTGTTGGGAGTTTAAATTGGTAGATCTTTCTTAAAAAGCAATTTGGTTATGTGGCTTAAAGCTCTGAAATGTCCATATCACTTGAACCAGTACTTCCAAGTTTAAGAATCTGTACTAACGATGATCAGAAATGCCATTAAAGACTCATGAACAAGGACACTCATTGCTGTCTTAATTACAGTAACAACAACAAAAGAAATAACAAATAGCCTACAGTAAAGACAATTAATTAAATCGCATGCATCCTATGATGGATTAATTTAGTGAAACTGCCAAGTTAACAGAAAGCACTATACAAGTTCTGTATAAAGAATAACCCCTATGATATATCCAGAAGACCTACAAAGGAGTACAGTCAGCCTGAGAAGAGGAATAGAGATGGTTTTGTTTACTTCTTTTTATTGCTTTGCATTTTCTAAGGTCTCTATAGTGAAACACAATTATTTTTATAACCAGTAAATATTCAATTGATGTTTCTAAAGACACTATGAAACCATGAGAAATGTCCTTGAACAACAATAAGCTAAAAACTAAAGCTGGAAACAAAATTTATACCTTTTGTATCCTTATAGTAACTTATTGTATAATTTCAACCATGCTAAAAATGAATCCATGTCACAGAAAAAGTACAGCACGTGTTAACAGTAGATGTCCTAAATGGTAGACCAAGAGGTGATTTCTTAATTTTTTAAATGTTCTATAATACTCTTTATGATTAACTTCTCCTTAAAAGATGTATGATTAAGCACGTGTTGGGCATATTGTGAGTTAGAGGAAAGGACAAAGATAACCTTCAGGGCAGAGAGAAGAAAGTGGAGCCCAGCAGAGAGGGTGGGGCAGGTGTCTGGTCTTCCAGGAACAGAAGGTCAGCAGAGACCTCAGGAGGCAGGAGAAGAAAAGCAGAGGTGCTTCCGGAAGGCCACGTGCTGTTCACAAGTATGCACGCTTCCTGCCAACTTATACCAGAATCTCCCTCTAGCCTCTCATCTCCGACTCCCCTGCCTGAATCCCACCCAGCTGGCCTTGGTGGCAGTGGCCCTATAATAACAGCACTCAATGCTGGTAAAAGTCAGGAAGAAGGGCAAGAGCTCTCAGTGACATGATGTCACCACATAAGTCCTTCCCCTTTTCATAAGGATGGTGACTTCGTGTTGACAAGCTAAGGGTGGAGGCTGAGGCTGCCCAGGCATTTGTGGTGAGCAAATGTGTTAAAGATTCTGGTTCAGACTGGGGAAAGTAAATTATTAATTAGTAATTTAGAGTAGCATAAATCTGGTTGAAAGAGCACTCTTTTTAAATGACTTTTTTTCATATTTTATAGATACTGGTTTCCAAACTATATTTGGCTACAAAATAAAAATGCTATTAAAAAAAAGATAGGAAGGAAGGAAAGACCATTGTCAGGAGAAAAACTAAATTCAGGTTTAATGCATTTTAAGGATTCCTTTTGCAACTACTGACAGACATAACGTGTTCATTTTTTCAAAAATCTCTTTCATCATTTATGATGGAATGAAATATGTGTCTGTTATTGCAATAGCAACCTTGGCAAGAGGGTTATAAGAATTTGTAGCCAGCAAAATGCCCACACTGTGTAGCAGTCAGCATCACTGTCATTTCTCCTATTGATGTCTCCACTCACATCACACAGGCATTTAACTCAACATCCAATTTCCAGCAAGGAGGAGCAGACAGAGGTCATCTGATCAACAGGGATTCAAGCCTATAGGTAAAATTAACATATTAATGAGATGGTCTGTTTTAGTTCAAATTCTGCCTTAGAATTCTCCTGAGGGCTTTCCTGATGGTTAACAAAACTGTCTAACTTGCACTATTTTATTAGTAAAATACGACACCTTTCACACTAGACAAAATATTAAATGCCAAGGCATCTGTCTGCTTTTGATTTTGCCTTCCATGCCTGTGGGTATGGGAAGGGGAAACATCCCAACTAAAATGTCTACCCTAGAGCTTGGATGAACTAATTTTATTTGGGCAGAGAGGTCTAGTGGCATCTAGAAGTCAGGTTCTGTCCTCAATCATCCCTAGGCAAGGAGATTAACTAGATGGTCACCTAAGTATTTAGTCAGTTTAGGAAATAGCTGAATCCTGCTTGGCACAAAACCCTTAGACTGAGCCAGAGTTGAGTCAGCCCCTCCAGTGGGTCAGTGACCGGTAGGAACCCAGACAGGATAAGAATGAAATATAAAAGCATTCCAGACTCGAGCAGTCTGGCTGTCCAGACACACTGCCCTGGGGATCAGATGGACTTCCACAGAGGTCAGCGGGTCAAAGTCCCTGGAGAGGTTGGGCTGTGCTACCTCATTCACCAACTCTACTGCCAATATGCCGTAGAACTCGGTTAAAATAAGTTCTGTTGTTGATTGCATGGTGCACCTTTTGTGGAGCCTAACTCTGCCCATCCCAAAGCTTACCTGAATTTCACAGGGTTTTCTCTAGTCTGTGAGATGAACTAGGGATGGAGAGGTGTGACTCCAGGATTGCATACTTTTGGGAGTTTCTCCCTTTCATTATTTGACCAAGCAAAGTACCTGAGGCTTATCATTTTCTGACAACATGTCAGAAACTGGGGAAAGAGTTTGCAGTTGCTGGCAAGGTGCACTAGAAGCTGGGTGGTGGGAGGGGCTGGTGGTTGCCAAAGCAGCCGCTGCCTCCTTCCAT